AAAAATGTATATATACATGTGTAGACTTTTGTATAAGAAAGACTTTGTGTAAATTTTTGTATACCTTACTTACGGTTTCAAAAACTAGCTAATATTTTAAAATTTTTATTTATAGCTAATATTCAGATGCAACTTTTAAGATTTTGAGACATTTAAAATTTATATCATGAACCTGCGCAAAAGACAGGGGCATTGGACCAGATTACGAGATTTTGTTGTTGGAGCAAAAATTTTTAGTAACCTTTCATTAATTTTGGAATAATTAATACGAATTGTCTAGCTACCTTAAGATAGCTTTTAATTTCAAAAATTAGTAGTATTTTTTCAATCTAAATAATTTCCAATTTACTTCTACAGGATATTCCATGTTTAGCGGATCTACGATAGAATAGATCACTTTAATAACTTGGTGCTTTTAAAGTCGTTTTGGTTTTTTGTAAAAATTTTAACTTTAATTTCGAGCGTTATTTTTAGTATAATTCTGTACGTATATTGGTAAATTATAACGTGCTATAAAAATAACGCTGGAAATAAAAGTTAAAATTCCTAAAAAAACAAAACCGACTTTAAAATAATTTTTTTAAATAATTAAAGTTAATAAAATTTGGTAGTTGTTATATAACCATATAATAACTACAGTCAAACTTCTTTAAGTCGAAGTACCATTTTGCAAAGAAACGGTTCAACTTATGGAGACCTCGAGTTAAAGACTTTTTTATTTTTTTTTAATTTTTGAAAGAAACTGGAACTTCATTTAATCATATTTATTTATTTGAAATCAAATACAGCGCAAAAGTTAAAATGAAGTGAAACATTCAGAAATTAGGGTTTGAAATTAGGGATATTAATTTTTGTTTCTTATTTTCAGTAAAAAAAGATTCAAATTTATTCCAAGCCTTATAGTGACCATCAGTTGGAGTATCATTCATTTGTAAATAATATCATCATCTATAGGAAAGCTTGATGTACAAATTTCAAAGTCAAGCACAATGCCAGCAACTGGCATTTGCACAAAGAAGCAACATATGAAAAAATGAAACATTTGTTTTGGAAAAAGGGGCTTTCCCTAACACCAAAATGAATTCAAAAATGATGAATTGGAAAGTGACAATATTTTTATTCAAGTTATAGAGAAATTCGAGTTATAGAAGTTCGAATTATGAAAGCAGAATTGTATGTAATTTGCCCTCTTAAGCGTTGTTGCGCATTTTTTAGTTCGAGTTATAGAAAATTCGTGAAATTATAGAAGTTCGAATTATGGAAGTTTGATTGTATATGGTTGTTATATTAAAGTCTGACTTCAAAAGCTAGAAGGAATTGATTATGATCATATATCAGACAAACAGCGAAAATTATGGAGAGTGAAAAAACTAGCTAGAAAAAAAATCTTTTTAAAACAAAAGTATTCAAGAAAATATATTGTATATACAATAATCTATTTTCAGAAAATTCTAAGAGACGTTTAATTTTAAATACATTTATAAATATCTTAATGCCATAAATAGATAAATAGATAAGTTATAATATGACTATATAAGAGTTAGATAGGATTTACCAGCTAAATTGTTCTATATGAAATCATATATTCATTTTCAGTAGAAAAACCAACCTTTCATTATTTTAATTTTATTTAGCAAAATTGGCTCATGCAATTAGTAAAAGTACCAATTAACATTTTCGCACTACTATAAAAGTAAAAACTTCATATAAAGAACTATGTATGTCCCATAAAAACTGAATATATCATCAAACATAAAAATAATTTCTAAAGGAAAAGCAAAATTTTTTTTGTATTTTCAATGAATTTGCCACGAGTGCGCCATTTTATTGACAATACATCAACTTGTAAGTGTACGCGACTCTACTAAAAAAAATGTATCTTAAAAACTTTAAATTAAATTTTAATAAGGGTATTTTTTATTGAATCACCAACTCCGGTCCACCTCCGTACCACACTTGCTTATCTTAACTGCTCCAACGCAAAATAAAATGGAAAATTTACAAGTAGAAAATACATAAAACGCAATCACAATCATCGACAATAATCTGCAGCGCACAAAAAGTGCTTATTATGAAAATTCACAGTTTTCAATGAGTAGCAGAAATACAGCGAAAAAATGGAAAAGAAAATAGAAAAAAAAATTATATATAAATAAATAAAATGAAAAAAAAATATAACAACAACAACAACAACAGCAGCAGCAACAGCAACAAATTGTAAAAACTGAAATGGCTTTTAAAAATCATAATGGCAGCTAGTAACAAGAGTTTCTGTTCAAATAGTGTGCAGGGAAAAAAAGCGTTTCCACTCCCTTCGTACCGATCGGTCGACTATCCGACTAACAGCCAGGCACTATACTATAGCTGCCTTAGCAGTTATTCCTCCCGCGCCCGCTAAACCACTTAAAAACTTATTCACATTTTAAACTGCAACCCACAAAATACAAGCGAAACACGCGCTTCCACCCCATAACATTATTTTGGTCCATTGACGCTAAAGGCTATATATACAACCCCCTCCCAGTTTGCCTTCCAGTTGTTGTTAGCTTAACTACCTAACTAACCAACACATGTACCCATACAAACTCCATATACACACACACTCATATAACCAATATATATAAATATAAAGCAAAGCTCCCTATGCGAAATACAAACAAGCGAGACTTATGCTTACAATCTGCCTCACCGATAAACGTGCAACGATACGTTCAGCATGTCCCGTATCGGAATAACCCACACACACACACACACACACATACACATATATACACAATCGTATTCGCATTCGAATAAAGCTAAGTAAAACAACAGTAACGTTGGAAAATTGCACGTCCATTGCGCGCAGAGGGCAATTTTTATAATTTTAGTCTCGTTTGCTATAAAATTTATTTCATTGAATTTTTTCTTCTCGTTTATACATTTTTTTCTATTTAATTTCTTCTCTTTCATTACACTTCTTGTCAGTTTTGACTTGTTCTCGATTTTGTATGTTTATTTATGGTCTTGTATTGTAGAGGGTTTTAGGGTACACTTAAAAAAAGTAAATTCTATTGCAATTTCTTTGAGATTACACGATTCCGAGATATGTCATTACAATTGGCGCCCGAGCAGGGACAGTATTCAAGAGTTATTATATACGGAAAACAGACAGAAAAAGTACGTAATTCGAAATAAGATATGATTGAATTACCAGAATGAATGGCACAAGCTAACGTTACTACAAAATAAAATTTAAACAAAAGACGTCCAAAGAATAAATTCCACATGTCGATCATGGCCTTATCGTCTGCTGAAATCATAGAACAGATATGGAAGTGGTCCGTACGTTACGGCGGGGGAAAGGATCCATTTCGCAGAAAGAATAAAAGAACTAGCAGATATTTACTAACAGTTCTTTATATAAAAAACGTAATTCTGGAGAGAAAATATATAACACTGAGATAATATTAAACAGAAACAATAATAGTATGTAGTTAAAAAATAACTAAAACTTTATAACAGCTACAAGTTTATTTCGATGATACCTATAACGTTTTGTTTTTTCTAACGGATGTGTACAATCGCAATACTGACTGACAACCAGGCAATTATAATGGCATTCATATCCTACCAAGTAACATCCAAACTGGTATAGGAGTGCATTGACAAGTTCAACATACTCTAATATGAGTTCCGGAACATACTGGCATCCACGGTAATGAAATGGCAGACAAACTTGCAAGAAGAGACGCGGCCTCAAGAATGATGGGCTTGGAAGCATTCTGTGATCTAGGCAAAGGAACTCTATTCATTGTTATGAACGACGCAGAGCAAAAAGAAAGAGAACTCCATTGAGAAAGGCTACCAAATGCTTTTAGGGACTTACAACATAAAACGCTTCAAAAATTGTATAGCACAATCAAAAAATAACATAAGAATTATTACGGGATTATTGACCGGTCACTGTAGATTGAGTAATCGCCTATCGAAGTTTGGAATTCAATCCAACTCATATTGCAGATACTGTAGAGAAGAAAGGGAAACTGCATACAATGTGTTTGGGGAGTGCCTGGTACTGATGCTCAAGCTGAAGAAATACCTAGCAGGGTATTTTATGGATCATAATAATTCAAGACTAGGAAAGTTAGACTTTATACTGTTTTTCATTAAAATTAAAAAATCAGACTTAGAGAAACACTTTAATCCGAATTAGGGGCATAGTAGATCTTTTAGATCGCAGTGCACTACCCCTTTTCACAATAATAATCTAATTATTATTTAACCTATAAAAAGGGAGACGGAGTAGAGTATTCAGACGAAATTATAGGATTGATCGCACCTTGCAAAATAAAGTTAATTTTTTCTTATTTCTTCAATTGATTAATTAACTTGTCGCTTACGATCCTAGTTGACATTGAAAATGTGAGAAAAAACGCTATTGTGCAAAAAAGATCTTTTTAAAAATTATAAATAAATTTCATTCTTATCTTAGATGTCTATATCATTTAGTTAATTTAGATAATATATAATTTGAATTACATTTGAATTATTTTGATTCATTTATTTACTCTAAATCAAAGACATTTATTATTATTTTTCTCAGTGTAAAATATCTCAAAAATAACTTTCTTCAAAGCGTCTTTCACTTTTTTTACAATATATTTTTTGCATTCATAAAATGATTTGGGGTTTTATGTGATATTTTCTTTTTACTTATTTTTGAAAAATCATTTTCCTTTTTATTTTCCTTCATTTACTCTCATCAGCTTTTAATTTTATGCTTTTTCTTCAATACTTACTTATATCTTTTTTGTGATTTCAACTTTCAAGACTGTTTTCGTACGCTGACTTTTACAATTCTACTTATAGAGCAAAATATCGTCAAAAGCCCTTTGCCCCGTATTGCTAATGAGATCTGCTACGGCCAAGAAGCACAGTTTTTTGCATTTCTTTGGTTTCGTTTTTTATTTCTATTTGCATTGCTTTTTTCTTTGGTTTCTTAAGTTTTTTCAGTTTTGTTATATTTTTTCTTCTGTGTGCAGGTTGTCCTTTAGCGACGCCCCATTCGAAGGATGTGCCTGCAAATGTCCTTTCGCTAAAGCATGTCTAATGCTTGTCTTCCTGCCAGCCTGCAAGCCAACTAACGTTATGGCTTGGCGGTGCGGCTCTTTGGCTACGCTGCGTCGTTAAATTAGAAAAATGTAAATTTATTTTAATTAAGATAAATAAGTAACAAAATGTTTTATGGAAATTACGTTAACGATGTTGCTTGTTTCGATATTACTTTCAAGAGGACACTCACCAACAATTCAGAATTG